AGTGAAGAAGAAGGTCGTATCGAGGAGAAAAGAAAAAGAGCGGGCAGAGGTTGGAGAGGGATCCACTATCGAGGGCGAGCAGCCAATCGCACCAAAACAGGCCCCCATTGTTATGGCCACACCTGATGGCGACGCCGAGTGTGGTCACGACAGCGACTGGGGACAACGAAGGCATCACGCATCGTACAACGGACGGTCATATAGCGAATGAAGAGGGGAGTCCAACGAGGAAGTGAGTCCAGCGAGAAAAGATTTCCCTCCTTCTCTGCTCTGCAGCAGAGGCAAAAGATGTGGTGAATGGCAAGCTTCGATGGTCATAGAATCTCGCCCGTCTCACCTGCTTTGATACCACGAAAAAAATAAAAAATAAAAAAAATTATTGAAAATACTTGAATATATTAACATGTCCCTCTACTATTTATACAGATTAGGAGGAAGGATTTTTCTCAACAGAATAAAGGATTTCCCTCGATAGAATAGAGAGATTTTCTCAAAAAAATCTTATCTGCTATCATAAACGAGTTTTGGTTTTAGAATAGAATCTGACATTATTTATTTACGAGTTCTGATCTTCAATTTTGATCCGCCCAACAGAAGCATTTACGATTCAAAATATAATTTAATAAAATTATTAATGTTCATTTGCAAGCGACCAACGTGGGCCGAAGAAGGTTGTCTTCTTCCGATGCCTATAATCTTTAGGATAAAGACGATGAGCTTTGATCGTAGAATCTAATCTTACGGTCGTCCTCTGAAGAAAATCCAATTCTTTACCAGCTGGTGAGTCATCGTCTTCGATTCTTGATCTGATGATAATAAACATTATTAATGTTTGATTTGGACGGCATCGCAAGGGAAGCAACCAACGTGGGCTCAGGACCGGCTTCCTATTCATCAATAGTTCCTCGGGTGTGTCCACCGAAGCAGCGATACTGTGGCTGCTGTCGCCAACCCACCGAGCTGCAGGTTCTTCAGCGCACAGTTGGTGCTCAGAGCCCCAACCCACCCACCGCTGCAGGCTCTTCACCTGCGTCCGACCAAAACGCCACATGAGATCTCTGCATCATAAGCTACTCCACTCTACAGCATCGAGCCAGCATTCCAAGTACGTAACTACTGCTTCGTCGCTGCTACAGTGTGAGGTACGCAACGTGTCGACGATTGCATTCCGGCACACCAGCTTGCTCTACGGGCCGGTAGGAAGAGGCCGGTGGAGAATTTTGTTGGCAGCGTGGTCTGCCCATCACACCGGAACAAGGGCAATACATCGCTGCCGCTTGTTGCCGTGGAGAAGCTACAGGCGGAAGGAACATTTGATGTTTTCTGATGCCAGTCGCTTGTAGCACTCACTGTTCATCTATAGTTTCATGTTGCAGACCACAGTATCCTTTGGCTCACTCGTAGCATCTACAGCTCTGCTGAAGGTATCTCCCTGTCTTTTCTCCTTGGAGCCGTCTGCTGCTCTGCGATCCTCGAGCACGCCGATCGTTCGATCGAATAACTAAGAGGCATGTCCTCCGACCATGCATTCGATTTCCACTTTATCTGGACCGACTATTCCTCAAGAATTTGTTTCTATTCGTCGAAAAATAATGATAACAAAGAGTGTGGTGTTTCATTTTGTATGATCTTCCGATGTTGCATTCGCTGCTCCTTTATTTTCAGATTTTAATTATGATGCTGATTCACTGCTTATGTATGTGTATTATCATCCTGTTTAAACTTACGAGCAATTCTTATTTCCTATTATCTGACACTAAGCTACGATCTTTTCTCGTAGCTATTATTTGTCGTACACACCTATCGATTCAATTCAATGGAATGCCTCGAAATACTTGTCTATGCAAGACTCGTTTGGTGGAGAACTTCATGTCTTTGAAGTCTCTCTAAATATTGAATGCTTGCTATAGCAAATCGTCAACGCATGCGAAAACAGCAGGATCATTGTAGCAAGACGAATGGAAGTTTAAACAGCATATAATTCTTTTTTTACATATATATATATATATATACATATATAATCATTTTCTTCTCTATTTTGTGTTCCCTCGAGAAGCTCAGATTGGCAACTCTATGTTGGAGTGTTGTTTCGATGGCTACAGCATTCACTGATGGAATAGAGAGGAAGTCAAACGCGTCACTTTATATGTTCTCTTCCTCCATCTCGGTGGCTCAAGAAGAATCGGAAGAAGATGGAGGAGAAGAAGAAGAAGACGAAGAAGAAGCAAGGCTTACAAGCAAGTCCACAAAGGCTCCTATTATGAGCTCGTGCGTCTTCTTTCCATTAGCTGTCAAGTACCAAACCAACATCTCCTCGAGCCACGCCCAGTCTATGACTCCATGAGCCGTCAGCATCTCCTCCATCGACTGCTTGAAGTCACGATAAGGGTCCTCCGACTCCACCGCCATGGCGATGCTCCCCTCGAACGGAACGGCCCCGACGTCCGCCGCCTCCACTATGGAGCTGGTCGCGCCTGGCTCGAAGAACAGCCTGTCCGACCGCAGCCCGCGGATGACCGCCTCGACGGCGTCGCCGCATGACGACTCACTACTCTTCGTGCCTACGCAGTCTACTACGACGCCGTCTTTCTCCCTGAAGGAGCGGGTCCTTGGGTGGCTGCAGGAAGGCCACGGCCATGGAAGAGGAGTAGGGGGAGAAGAGGCGTGGCTCGTGTACCTCGTTGCGGAGAAGAGAGAGAAGAAGCCTGGTTTCCTGCCCATATCGGATGTCCTTTTTATGTATGCGAAGAAGAGGAACAGGAGAATGGAATGCGGTGCAGTGCGGTGCAGTGCAGCACGAGATGTTGTTAATGGCGAGGGAAATAGCGGTGGCCTTCTTGAGGCATTTGAAGGCAGGGATTTGCAGGGCGAGTCACCGTGAGCGAGCCATAAATAATAGTTGGAGGAGGATAACAGTGACCTTCACTGCTCGCACTCAAATATGGATTGCTTCTGCTGTTGCGATTACCGCTTTTTGTTCGCTAGCTGCAACAAGGTGCAGCATTTCTTCTCACGAGAAGCTGCAACCTTCAACTCGGGCAGCTAACCGCTCCCTTGTCTTGCCTTGTTTTCCTCACGCTTGTGTGTTTTGAGACTTATTATTCTGCCCATCGAATGGAATACAAGGCAAAGTGGAAAGCTGTGTGCGCCTGCTATCCAACAACAACAGCAGCGAGCAGCAATGAAATCTGAGATATCAAAAATAAATCCTTTTTTTTTTCTTTTCTTTTACCGGAGAAAAATATATTAAATAATTTGCACCCTTAAGAAGGGAGAGTGTGAAGTATAGTTTGATATAAAATAAACAATGATGAAAAGCTGAAGGCAATGCATTTATTTGTCTCGTTTGAATACATGATTATTTTAAAGTCATTCATAAGATGGACAATCAAATACAAGTCTCGGTAATGATAATGCCATCCATATGAAAGGTTCAAAGTATGCTATTACAACCCCATGATAGACATGAAGGCAAGGAAAATACAAAGAGTAGGTGATCGGAAGGAAACATTTCTATGCCCAACAAAAGTATCCAAGTTTCTGGGTTCATTTCATGATCCTCACTCTCACATGGCAGAACAATGGATTTAAAAGTTCCACTCTTGCTTGTCTTTGTCCGATGTGCTTGCATTCACCGAGCGAGCATCAAAAGATGACTCCTTCCCAGGAGAATCGATCTTATCAAGAGCGAGAGGCCAATAATTCAAACATCAATGTCTCGTGTCCCTACCTTCCATGGGAACATGTCAGCTAGCGAACGCTTAATGGCAGCCATCGTGTCTTCCGGTTCCAAACATGCTCTCTTGACTCCTCCTCCTCCTCCTCCTCAATTAGAGAGCTTTAATAGCCGGATTCTGAGAGGCATGTTTGTCCTCGTAATTAAACAAGGAGGTCAGTACGCAAGCAAAGCAACGAAGGAGACAACAAGAAGACAGCATTCCTCTTCGACTCGCTCGTAGGTGTTAGGGTAGGGGATGCTTCCGTGCTTTATATTCTAATGGGCTAATGCAAGTCAACCACTGCCTTAAAACATGGCTTCGTGGTCCACCCGGGATTACATTTGCATTAATTGCTGATATCAAAATGTATAACTCAGAAATAGTGCATTAAATTTTAATTTTTATGTTTTAATCAAAAGTAAACTTAAGGGAAAAAATATTAATTAAGTCGAATAGCAACCATTCTCGTAGTTAAGCTAATATACCGACTTAGATCGACCATAACAAGATATCCAATAAAAATATTTTGATTTGGGCATCGTTCCAAGCTAAGACTGCACACACAACTGTTAGCAGAGACAAAACTCCTTTCAAGCATTTGGCAGAGATTAAAATCATAGTTTTCGAAAATGGGAAATCTAAAAGAATGTGGTTTTGCACGACAACCGTTAACGACATGCAGCAGTTCTATGACCCTCTGGCTTACGAACCCGTAGTGAAACTAAACAACAACAGACGACCGATCAAACGCCGATCGAAGACTTCCAACCGTTCATTCCCATCAAATTTATCGATTGCGGGAAAAATGATCCAAATCATAGACTGCTAACAAAAGCAAACAGCTTACCGTATCAATCCACAAATCCCGTCTGCCTCAACACTGCGTCACGGACGCGCCGCAGATCCCTTCCTTTCAGCGTCCTCCCTGCCCCTTCCAGCACCGAGAAGGTTGTCATCCTCGATCCCCTCCCGTGAGTCCTCGCCACGATCTCGTGAGGCGGCATCATCATCTCGTGCTCGTCCCCGCCTCCGTCGTCTGCCCCATCGGCGCCCTCCACCCCGAGCCCTGTCGTTCTCCGGGGCACGACAGGCACATTGATCGGAAGCGACTGCGGTCGGTGCACTTTCCCCACCGGCACCGAGAGCGAGTACTCCGGCTTCGCCCTGGGGATCGCGGGGATCATCCGCGCCGCGGTGGTGGTCGAGGAAGACGGGGAGTTGGAGGAGGAGGAAATTGATGGCTTCCGCTGGAGGAGAGGGGGAGCAGCGGCGGGGACGCAGCCCCCGTCGTCCTCCGGTAGGGCGGCGAGGATTCCGAAGCTCCGGTCCCTCAGGCCGCGGGGAGCGCCACGGGAGGAGCGGGAGAGGAAGGAGCTAGGGCTAGGCTTCGCCGTCTCCGGCAGAGACGGCGCCGGGTCGAGTGAGGTCCACAGCACATCGGACTCGTGGAGCTCGACCCCGGCGGGTTGGTCGGGCGGGGGCGGAGAGAAGAGGCCGAGGAAGCGGTCAGAGCCGGGGGATCGCTGATGGCGGAGACCCTCCATGGAACGAAGTGTCTATCGAGGCAGAGGGTGGCCGGGGGATCGGGCGGGGGCGGCGGCGGCGGCGGCGATAAGGGAAGCAAAGCGGGACTCGGAGCGCAGCCGGAGAGCTGTGGTGGGAGAAAGGACTCCACTTGTCGTGGTCGTTGTCGTAGTCATTGTCGTTTATGGGCCTTCGCACGGGTCGGCCGAGCACGAATCAACCGATCGCGTCACATCACTTGGTGAGCAGCACAACCGCGGTGAGAGGATTCGTGTCATATGCTCTGTGGCAGAGATCTTGGAGGCGTCGCAGACGACACATCATTCGCCACCTCACCAACGAATGCAGCAAGCACTAGCCATCGAAGAGTGACACTAGAGTCACACGACTTAAGTCACGGCACAAGAGCCTCGACAAATCGACGTGAGACGCATGAGTAAAAAGGTCGCCATATGCATCACATCATTAAAAATATTAAGTTCGTGTCCTACTTGATATCGGAATAACGGTGCATAATTAAAATTTACATCGTTAGTGTCACATTTACTTTGTTTCTATTAGAAAGGGATGGGAAAAAAAATGAGGTGGATCGCTGCTATCGAGTTGGAATCGATTAGACTCGATCAACCCTGAAAAATCACATATTCTCTCAGGGCGTTGTTGCGTCCGCGAGACGGGCCAGCACCTCGGGATCTTTCGGTGCTGATTCAGCCCGGCTGACAAGCATGGTGGAGGCCAGCTAGTACAAGACCGAACATGGTCCGCTGTTGGCCGACGCGGTCCGACTCGACCCAAGTGAGCTGTGGACAGGATTGGGTAAAACGACTGACATCGAAGGGCAACTTCGTCAGTATGGAACTGTAACATGGCAACCCTAAGATAAAAGTACTCCCCAAGGGTGGTAGGGTTTCGTTTACGGAGAGGGAGGGGGAGGCGCGGGAAGAGGGAGCAAGTACGAGTGACAAAGATGCAGATCTTCGTGAAAACCCTCACGGGGAAGACCATCACCCTCGAGGTCGAGAGCAGCGACACCATCGACAACGTCAAGACCAAGATCCAGGACAAAGAAGGTAAGTACTTTCTCGTGGTTCGTCGATTTTGACTCGGTGGGATCTCGCATGTGGTTTCTGATCGTTTTGTGGGCCTTTTCACCCAACAAAATTAGGGATTCCGCCGGACCAGCAGCGACTGATCTTTGCCGGGAAGCAGCTCGAGGATGGACGGACACTCGCCGACTACAACATTCAGAAAGGTGATATCTTGTGATCATATTAGATTTCTCTTTTTTGTTTCATTTGTGTTTCTTGTCGATTGGTTATCAAGAGTTGACAAGAGTTGTGTTTTTTTTTTTGTGGTGATGCAGAGTCGACGCTGCATTTGGTGCTGAGGCTGAGGGGCGGTATCATTGAGCCCTCTCTGATGGCTCTCGCCAGGAAATATAATCAGGAAAAGATGATCTGCAGAAAGTTAGATATCGTCTAACCTTATTACTTTAAGTCTTTATGATCTTTAAGTCTGAAAATTTTTGTTTCTGATCTGCGTACCATGCATAATTGCTTTCAGCAAAAAAGTACTAAAAAATGACTTGTAGGTGTAAATATATTAAAAACTAATTCGTTATATGGTTATCATGGTCAGTATATCTGCACTATTTGAGTATTTGAGTATAAAGTAGAATTTTTGAATGTTCATGGAGATGTGTCTCGTCGGCAATGTCATCATTTTGCTAGAGTTCGCAACATGTCTAAAATTGTACCACCCATTGTGTTGTCCTACATGGATCAATTTTCTGCCTTAGGGCTTTGTACCCTTTTTGTTGTCAATAGATGCAGTTTATTAGTTTGAAGCTCATATCATGGATGGGATAATAGGTGAGAATCTTGCGTTCTATAAGAAGTAAAGTTTTGTCCAATGGAAAATGTATAAAGAACTCTTACATGTGTAATATTTATTTTGTATTGTTATTAGTTAATTTGGTTTCTTTTAACTTCTGGGCTGCTGGTTTTCTTTCTGTTATTCTATTAGGCAACCTCTTCATGTCTTATTTGTCAGGCTTATCTTCTCTTTAATTGCTAGTAAAGCAACACAAATGCCTGCAATTCTTTTTCTAGGTACTTTTAATTGGTTATTTTGTTCAGTTGGATTTCTTTTAAATACTTGGTTTGAGTTTTCTACTAGCAACAAGAGCTAACTATCTATGCAGAAACAAAGATTTAATGAGGCTAATGGGCTATGCATTAACAAGATATCTCTGGGGAGTTAGTAACCTATTAATAATTTTGACTTTCATGTTTCAATTCAGCAATGTTAGGCTGTCCCAAAAATGTCATTGGTAATTGTTCCGAGTATTGAAGCATTTTAAGGACACCTTAGTAGATAGATTCCCAAATTATACAAGGTGTTCAATTTCCTTTCATAGCTTCGATTTTGCATTTGAGTGTTTTTAAATATAAATCATATAGATGATTTGCTATCTTGCGAAAATATTGCTAGCGATCCTGTGTGTTCTAGCAGATAACTTGGTAACCATTTGCTTTTGGTTGAATTATTATCATTCGGTATCTCAGTTTGTGTACTTTTTTTTTGTTGATAATCAGTTTCTCATTCTGTGTTCTTTTTATTATTCTGCAAAACAGAATTATAAAGTTGCAACTGGCATTACTCAGGCATTTTGGTTTATTATTGCCCCCTTTCTTGCTGATATTCATTTTATTCCAGTGCTCCTGATGAGCTAGTTCCATCTAGTGTCCTGATGTGTTCATTTTTATTTGTTGAAGAGAATAGGAAACAACCTGTGGCAGGGATGATGATTTGTTTACATGTGCACAGAAAAGTTGAGGCATGTTAGGTCTCTGTTACACATATTGGAATCAATCTTTTTCTTTCTCATGCTTAGTCATTATCAATTTGTAGATGCATTCATGAAGTCTATAATTGTTGCTGATGTGGTTTTAAGCAAACTGTCGTTTTCATACTTTCGAGCATACTGCAGGCAATAAAAGTTCTTGGAAGCTTAGTTCTTGTCTTATGATTAATTGTTACTCCAGGCTTATGACATCTGCACGGATTTTTTGCTTTCATTGTGACCTTTCCTTTGCTGTTGCATCTACATGTAAAAATGGCTATAGTTTCATTTTCTGTTGTGGATTTCCTTTGTGTATGCAGTGCTCCACATAGTTGCTCTTCTATTTGCAGTGCCTGTTGTTGATCCTTTTCTTGTACTAGTCTCATAACACTGAATGAATTTGTGGTAATGGTTCTGGTGCTTCAAGCTCCTTGCATTAATGTCATGCTTATCTAGTGTACTCGATGCACACTAAACAAAATTTCAGTTGACTGATTTCAATTTTTTTTCACTGTGGATTTAATTTGTGGATGTCTATATGGCTGCAAATTTGTGTTGGCTTGTTTGATAAGTGAAAAATGCTTTGAGAGTAGAGTACTATATTGTATATATGTTCTTTTGCTTGCCTAAGTCCTTGAAAGGATATAGACATGGAGCAATCTACGTGCATTGCATCTGCTGGTTTTCTTATTTTGTTTAGTTTTACATAACCATTTGAGGCTATGTGTAACCATCCTCGTTTTATCCGTCCAGATGCTATGCAAGATTGCATCCAAGGGCTGTTAATTGCCGTAAAAAGAAGTGCGGCCACAGCAACCAGGTACCTCTTATCTCCGTATTGGTTAGTTTGATTGGTTTTGTGGAAATACAGTGAATATTCTTGCAAAATTCTAAACAATTTTGTGAGTTATTTAATTTTAATCTGTCTTGTTCCTCAGAGGTTCCAAGTATTCTTCCCGTATATTACACCCCCTTACATCTCCATCTAACTAATGCTGGTTTCCTGAAGGCAACATTGTTTCTTATTTTAAAAAACATGGGAAACAGAGATGATTTCAAACTGCTAGTAATCTCCCGTTTGTTTTGGTTTGCAGCTGAGGCCCAAGAAGAAGATCAAGTAAGCTGTTGGTTTGAGTTGCTCGATGCATGTTCTGAGAAGCCAAAAATGTCCCATCTAGATTAGCTGTCATCGGCTGTTTTCATTTTTCACATGAAACTTATTTTTATTGCTTTGTTGCTGCAAACAAACGTGTTGGCACGTAAGGACAATGTTGTTTTCTGAATGTTTTGAAGTATCTTTAGCAATTAATATTTCTATTGATTGTTCTCCATCTAATATCTATCGACTTTGCCACCTGAAATTTGTTTAAAAAAGCTAAAGCCAAATTGCAGAGAAGGCAGTTTAACAGCGCGAAGATCTTTCAGCAATTGTCGATGCCAACCGAATGAATTATTTAATGTGAATGATCTTGCTATCTCGGTTGTGTGCTGTGTGTGGCCTTCAATGTTAGATGACCGCATCGAGCTCTGTATCTGTTTCATGTTAATTCACTTGGTTCGTTGTGTTATATGTTAATTTATCAGAAAAGGAATATTAATTTACATGCTTACAAGAAATTGGCTGATCTTTCTTGATCAGCATGAGAAATGGTGAAGTACAAGAAGGTGGCTGAGCCCATCAGGAACAACAACCGAGATATTCCCGAATTGCGTTCTCTGTTTTCTCGCTGTGCTTCAAGAAAACAATGACTGCACGTACTTCTGCTGCCTTAACATTGTCTGTATCGAAACGGATTCGTTGGCATTAGTCAACTTTGGTTCCAACAGCACATATTTTTTGGATGTCATTTCTTTTTAATCCTTGCATCGGATAAGATGACGACGAGTGAGATCCGTTTAAGATAGTATAGACATGTGTTGAAAAGATTGATTTCTGGATATGATTGATAGTCAAAAAATATAAAATAATTAATATTAATGATACGAAAAAAGATATAAAAATTATAAAAATTATAAATAAAAATTTAAATATTTCGAACTTAACTAACCATATGATTTTAACATAAGATTCATATAATCGATCCAAAACAACTGAGACTTACAACCTTATTGTTATTATTGTTGTATAACAAAATATATATGTGAAATGCAACTATATTATATTTGAAAAATCAGATATTTGATGACCAAAAACTAAAATATTAAACTCAAATAAGTTGGTGGCGGAGGAAAATAAGTGAATAAAAAGACTTGTTTTGATATGAAAAGGTAAAAATAAAAATAAAATGAATGATTGTAAAACAAAATAAAAAGGAGCAAAAACTCAGTGATGAGAGAGCCAAATGAAGGAGGGAGTTGAAAAAAAAGATAAGAGAAGACTATTGAAACATCCCAATTTAGTATCACAGTAGAGGTGAAAGAAATTTTGAATTAAATTTCAATATTAATAGCATGCGTTTGTTTCCATACACCTTTATCCTAATCCGTAACTACAAACAAGCTTATACCCATCAAAAAAATCCAACTGTTCTTCATCATCCTACTTCGGATACATATCCATATCAAATATTCTCTCAATGTTATCTAAAAATTTCCAGTATTTGATCCATATACATTGTGTTTTCACCTACTCCCAAGGCATAAAGATCTGCTATATATTCTTGCTTCTTGAAAGACCGAAATCAGATCCATGAAATTTTCTCTCTTCCCACAATATTTTGTTGGAGAATAATAGCATGTAAAATGCGGCAACTGAGAAAGCTCTACTTAGAAGTTTAATTAACCGTAGCAGTTCTAACTACTACTGTCACACTGTGCCATTAGCTGTTCTAAATTCAAGGATTGGAACTCAAAGGAGCCATCTAATTAGAAAACAGCAAAAGTTATTCTTGTAGAAGCATGATAGATAATAGACAAAAAATAACAATTGACAACAACACTTACCATTAGTAACCCTGACTATGCTAATCTGCCTAAATAGCTTGCATCGTCACTAACTTAAAAACATATATAAAAACAAATGATGATTTCACTAAAAACACTTAGGCATGACAAATCATATTTAGCAACGAATCGATCAAACCTAATTAGTTGGACTCCCTTGCCCTTCAAAGCATAACATGCAGAGGACTCGAGTTCCTTGCCTACACCAAATCAAACATGTACAGACAGCAAATGCAGAGCTGAAAGCCACTTTTCATCCCTAGCTTAATAATTGTACCAGAAAACCGCATGATTATTGTTATAAGCAAATGCTTTAGTGAAATAAAATAACAACAGATAAGATTCAGAGAAGCATTTGTTACTCTTAGGAATCTCTCCTCCGCCTATGGTGAACCTTATCATCCATTAAGATCCGTGGAGGTGTTAACTGTGTTGTCTAAACTGCTAATCTAAACGGAACAGCACCATAACATGTGGTTTGACTGGGTTTAAACTAAATAAAAATGATAGATTAAAAAGAATAAAGAGGAAAAGAGATTACATGTTAGTTTTATTATATACCAACAATATTTGTTCTCATACTAAATCTATATTGCATTTGCATTCAAAGTCCTAACAGTGATCATAACCAGAGATCATAACTTTGAGAAATTAGAAACTTCCTAAGGATATATGCTGTAAGTTGGCTTATATAAATATGGAAGTCAAATAAAACTAAGCCAAACAATAATATGCCAGTTTGGTTTGGTTTCTACAATGAAATGTTTTGGTTTTGAAATTCTCAAACAGCAATTTATCTGGTTCATAGTCCCCTATATAGTAGTATACACCAGACAAGACCAGATCAAGCAGCTTGAAACTAATGTGACGAGAACTTATACCTACGATGATGCCTCAGCACCGATCCTGTTTCACCAGCTTTTGAAACTTGCCTTGCCCAGCCAAATTTGACTACAAATATCTGTCATCCATCCATATCTTTTTTGGCTGTGAACTCATCTTGCAACAACAAATATTCCATTAGAGGGACAATCCTGCTTTTGCCATATCCAGAATTTCTCCATGTCAACAAACTATTGTTGACTAGGTTTGCAACTCATTCGTAAATGTAGGTTACAGTAATGCCTAAACTATGTTTGCGCCTCCATTAAAACTCTCAAGTAGTCCACAAAGTCATGCAACTATATAGATAACTTAACTTGCCCCGTCCAGTCTACTCCAATTATCAAACTTATTACCGGTGTCAACACGTAGCACGCTTTGAGATAGAAGAAGACAGCAGGACACCTTCGTACAGACATTCTGCCGATGCAGCACTAGCATGACAGGGCTAAGATTTCATTGCTCCAGTCTGCACCACTGACCATGCTAATACAGTTCTAGCCTTGAAATTGCAGAACTCGTTCAAATATCTAGCCAATATACACAATATAATCTCAAAAAAAGTGCATCCGCAGTAAATTCCTAGGAGTTGGACCTTAGCCTGATATCTCTTTATCTATTAATTTTAGAAGATATAGGCACAATACACTCCTTCAAAAAAAAAAAGAAAAAAACTCAGCTTGCTCTGTCGATTCTACTCCACTTATGTCTCAAGAATTAGAGCTCAAATCAATTACAAACATAGTGCAAATCAAATCATTAGTTAAGCTGAATACGTTGCAGATAACCCTTGTGGATTAAGAAATGAATTTGAAAATGGCATGTGATCTCAAGAAATGCAATAAGCTTAAAAATCACTAATAAAAATATGGATTAGACTGATAGGAAGGGCACATTACGGTCTCACACTATACGTTCCCCAACAGAACCGTCTAACCACAGCGTTACAAAGCCTGTTCACGGAAGTTCATCAAATAAGAGCCTCCTTTAGTTCAATATAAGAGATGCAGTAGTAAAAAAGTTGTTGCGATGACAAGAGAAAATTACAGAAGTTGCAATTTTGATCCCTTTTACTGCGTGATGTAGCAGAACTGAGGATTCTTCGGCCCAAAATGCTAAGCAGCTAAAACCCTAAATTCCAGAATATCACATAACAAGACCCAATAAAAACTCAAAGGAGCGGTTCAGATCGGTACTAACCGATTTCGAGGACACAAAATCCTTAAGAAGGCCCACGCGACTTGTTCGGCATCGAAGGGGCGGCCGATCCGGCGGTGCCTGCAGCCGCCGCCGAACCCTCAGCCTCGACGAGCGTTCGGAGGCGTTCTCGGAGGGTTCGGACGCGGTCCTCCGTCCGCCGTAGCTTCCGCCATCGGTAGGCGAGGTAGGCGCTGAGGCTGCCGTAGACTAGGATGTACGAACCCCACACGTACGGGTACGTCTCGGCGTGCTCCTTGATCCTCCGCCATTCATCCTCTACTCTCCCTTGCCATCCAAGCGCCCGATCGCTCGCCTCCCCTTCTCCCTCACCGGGCATTAGCCTCGATCTCGTGCGTTTTTAGGGCAGAGAGGGGTGTGGTGGACATATATATCATCACGGATAAAGGCAACTCTTTCTTAAGGTTACACATCTATCTTTAATTTCATCAAAAATATTTTTTGTTAAGCTCCTAATTTTATTATTATTAGTGATTGTTGTCCAAATAATATTAATATTATTTCTATTTAAGTTTTAAGTCACTTTCCTTTTCTTCTTATTCTTAAAAGGGTTTATATTATTATCTTTAAAATTTTGCTATCTAGTAATCTTAATTTTTTTTACTATTTTTTCTTCTTTCATTTTTTATGATAAAGATTTAATATCATCAACCTATGTTGATTCGTCAACTATTCACTAGGTATAATTTTATGATTCTTATAAATAATAATATTTATATTTCTAGTGAGAAAAAATTCTATATGACTATAATTTATAAGTAATTAAATATTTATATCTTCTTTTAAAATGAGTGTTTATAATTATAAGATCATATAAAATTATAAAATTTAAAATCATACCATCATCTTTATTTCTCTCTCCATATCATAACTAAAGTTACTATGCATCCTTTTATATTAACCATTTGTTTTTCCTATATGATGATTTAAATATTCTTAAATTATACATTTTTTGATTATAAGCATTCCTCGAATGATATTTTACTTTAGCTTTCTCAATTTTTTTTTTTGGTTGGATCATCTAATCTAATCTGAGAGGCATAAGCACTAATCACATTCAAAATATCATATCCTTTCATAAATTTTAAAATTATAATTTTATCCATAAATATTGTTATATTTATAACATTATTCATAATATCTTTATCAACAATAATTTTTAAACTATTTCTATGTTTAATTTTTTCAGTATATCAAAATTTAAATTTAGCACTATTAATCTCTTCATAGTTTTTTTTCCTTCGTTTTGCCTCTCGTAAGTAAATAATATTTATTCTTCTTTTGATCATTAGTATCTACTATTTTTGATATGTTTTTATATATTCCGAGTTACTAATTTAATTCTTAATTCTTGGACTAACTTATTTAGGTCCAAAATAAATAGATAACCCTTGTCTATTTTGCATCACATTTAGGTATTGATGTGATAGACTATTTCTGAGCGACCTTTTAGCTCATCATTTATAATTTAGGACACTTAGATGGGGAAAGTGTCTCGCGTTACTTTCCGGTGACGACGTAATTCTATACTGGAATTGATTAAAATCCATGTTTATAAGTTCTAACATTGTTTTACATTGGTTGTTAGTGACTTAACGTAACTCTTCATATTTTTCATCCAGGCTTAGGACCAATATTAACAGTATTATGCATCTTTTTGTTATAAGTTTTTAAATATATTTTTACTATAAAAATAATTTTTTTATATTATATAATATATAAATATTATTAAAATTTTAAGTATATTTTAATATAATATTATTTTGGGGATAATTACATATTATCTTATGTAATTAGACCTCCTTTGCATCTCAATCTCTAGATTTAAAAAATTTACATTAGAATCCATAAAGTTTTGAAAGTGAAATATCTAACTACAAAAGCATAAAAACAATGAACAAAAAGATAATTTTATTGTTTCAGTTAATAGTGACGGACGACGTTGGTGGTGACGGATGACGACGTCATTGGGGGCTATTGTTGATGAGAAGAGTGATCCTCACCTCTCATTGTCGTTCTCCTCATCTACAATAGTCATCTGCGACCTCTAGTGACAACATCATCCGCTATCATCAATTCAAATGTTAAAATTATTATTTTTATTTATTATTTTCGTACTTCCCGTAAAAATTGATGGCATTAGTGTAAATAGAGTTAGTTATTTAACTTTTATAAGATTGTAATATAAATTTTTTAAATCTAACAATCGAAATATTAGAAGTTTTAACTATTAGTCATCCAATCGGTGTACCAGTGACACAAGGTTTGTGGGGCCGGATAACAATGCACTCGTTGAATGGTTCCTCGGTTCAGCGAGTGGTGGTGAGCGTCCCTCCCCTTCATCCATCGTCCAAGCTTAAGCTCAAGATGGGCCTCCCAAACATCGGAAGAGGCGAATGTGATGGCTGTGTCCTACGAATCTAGCTTTGAATCTCTAACGTAGCACCGTGAATACGCCGTATCCTCGCTGTCTCCATGTTTGCTGATTCACTTATATAGTGTGTTGAATTTGTCATGGTCAAGGTCAAAGTCACTAATGCAATGCCGTCACCCATGATGTCATGGATCCATCTTTAAATTATGCTTGAATTGGATTATCAGTGTCAAATCTTTTGACACCACAAAAGTCAAACAAAGAAAGAAAGAAAGAAATAGTTGGTTTTGTGTCGTTTTTGTGTGGGTCGAAGCGCCAACTTGTTCCGACTTCTCATACCGCATATCTTTGCTTGACTTGACACAACAATCTCCCACGGCACAAGCGGACTCCTTATTGGCAGTAATTGCCAGCCCATCTTCGAAGACCATTAGCATACAAGGAGGAGATGTTACTTCAATGGGTTTTCTATTAGTTCTTTTTTTATTTTTATTTATTGCTATTCATTATTCTTCTATAAAAAAATTCATGTATGTATATATATATATATATATATATATATCGGGAAAACGTTATTCTGCATCACCGTTCTACATTGTCAGATGAGGGAGTCGTATAGCGTAACAGACGGGGGCGGGAGGCGGGGCGGTGGTGGAGCCCGCGACGGAAGATGGCGTTCATTTCCATCCCTAGCAATGCTTCTTCTTCCTCTTTAAAGCTCTCATCCACACTCCTCGGCTCTCTTCACAGGCTCTCCTCTCAATTCCCTCTCCTCTCTCTCTTACTCTGATCCGATGCCCCAGGTCGCCTGCGATACACGAACCCCACCGCCGCCGGAGGAGAAGGAGGAGGAGGAGGAGCATGATCCTCACCTCCCGCGCGTGTCATTCGAGGTTCCCGTCGGGAGGAGTGGCGGTGGCCTCGGATACCGCATCTACGATCGCGAGGAGTCCACCAAGGGGCTCACCAACCCCAAGTCCGGCCAGGCCAACTCCAAGTCCCGGTCCAGCTCCGAGCGCTTCTCCGTCCCCCGGAAGCCGCCCATCATCGGCCTCCCCGCCAAGGTCCAGACCTCCGGCTACGGCGGGCGGTGCACCCGGCGGTCCACCCAAGGCCGGATCTTCCCCAAGAAGGGCGGCCGCGGGGGAGGGCGGAAGTCGGCGGTGCCGGAGAAGGAGCCGGGGTCCCCGAAGGTGTCCTGCTTCGGTAAGGTCGGGTCGGAGAGGGCGCGGGCGCGGCGCCAGCTGGAGCAGCAGCGCGACCCGGTGGTGGAGCCGGAGGTGACGGGCTGTTGTGCGGGTTTCATGGCCATCCTCGGGCTGGGCGGCGGCGGACGCCGCCAGCCGGAGGTGCCGGTCGAGAAGAGCTCATCGCCGCCGCGGAGGAGCATCTTGGAGAAGACAGTGAAGAAGGCGTCGAGGGAAGCAACAACGGCGCCGTATCCTGCGGGTCCGGGGTCGGGTCTGGGAGGAGGGATGAGGCGGTTCTCGTCGGGGCGGCGAGCGGCGTCGTGGGGAGAGGAAGCGGAGCTGGAGGCGAGGAAACGGGAAGGGGCGGCGACGGTTGAGAAGGACGACTAAGCGGGGCCCGCAACCCTTGGGAGTAGCTTCTTTGTTGCTGACTTTTGTAGAGCGGTGGGTGAGGTGAGGTGAGGCGAGGGAAGTATTTGTACAGTGGAAGTCAATAAATAGATAAATAAATAAATAAACAAACAAAACGTTTGGGGGTGGAGTGAATGGTTAGGATGTCGGTGGCTTCACTGTCAAAGCTTATAATAGGGAGGAATCGATTTAGAATTGAAATAGAATGGAATCATAATCGAATTCTATGATCTGAAATTGAAATCGAAACCCGTCGTTTCAAATAGGTTTCGAATTGATCATAAAAATAAAGCCCCAGCCCTCAAGCTTCCAACAACTTCATACCAGACACAGCATGTCAAACCACGAGAGAAGGGTGGTAATTAAATGCATTATAATCTTAAAATTTTAATTCGTATCGTTGAAACCAAAAATGAAACCTGATTGATGGTGTTTATGTTTGTGTGTGATCCAAATCAATCAAAAGATGATTTTTTTTTCTTCTCCCTTTAATATCATGTTAATTGCATCTTAAGGCTTGTGATCGCTATGTGGGCCTCTGCGGAGGCAAATTGAGCCTCATCTTGTAGGATAAATTGTCTATTGTTTGATGCAGCCCCATCCGATTTTAATAACGTGCAGTAAGTTCTTCTTGTATGTTTGCTGAAGTTTTCCGATAACGGTAGATTGAATCTCTTCTATAATCAAATTAAAAATATTTATCATGGTATCACAGTAGATAATAGCATATTATGAGTTTCCTTTTGTAACTCCTTCATGCTGATCTCCTATCGCAACTCCTTTATAGCAGATTTACCAACATCTTCGATCGATGATCTTCCATCGTTGTGCAATCTTGCATAGTGGGTGTTCCCTATGCTCCTACCTACTACCCTGCATCTTCACCAATATTCTCATCCCCTTCACGTCAACTATTGAACTCATTTGCGTCTTGAATCCATGGTCAACCTCTCGGTGATAATTTATTGCCTTCCACTATCCTTTTGACTATGCTATCAGCACTCGTGATCGAAAGAATGACCCAACAAAGGAAAAAAAGGGAGCACTCTCTTCTACACATCTCATATTATATTCTCCCTTGTGCACTTCTTAGATATGATCTCTTCCGTTATATTAGATTATTCTCTATGCACTTCTCTATCATCTGTGCATCCAAACCAGATCACCAGTTAGTTTTGAATTTTTCTTATTGGATCACAACATCTTCTCAATATATCATTCGCTTTTATATTTAAACTCCAATTATTGTTTCCTCATAATATAATAATTTATCTCAATCTACGGAACTTATATATATTAATTGAGTAACTCTAATTCACTTCAAGCACTCTAAAGGTGACAACTATGCATCTTGAGAGGAGCATAATTCGTCATTCTCTTCTTTGGATATGATCTATTATGTTATATCGATAGCTCTCTTAGTTGTCCACCAGAAAAAATTCAAATATTATGAGAACCTATCCTATTGGTAAATCTTGATCACAAGTTATGGTTATGATAAGATCATCTTATTCGACAAGTTATTCAAGCCTCAGTCGAAAGTTTCATAGCATCATTAATCCCTTCGTGTAGCACTACAACGAAAGTATGGTCTAAGTTACAAATCACCATCGCTAATCGCTAAATAACCTAATAGAAAAACACCATTACTGATTATATGTAAAATCTAAACATTATTATAGATGCTTTAGTTTTAATAGGTGAGTAATGAACAAGTCATTGTTCGTACTCTCAATAGCATAAAACATATCTGAAATGAATATAAGAAACTAGTGATAACAATTCGGGCATGTGACTCACCAATGTTATTTAAAAAATTATATGATAAATTGATTGATCATAGCACTTATTTGAAACGAGAAAATAAGAAAATAAGACTAACTATCATAATTTAATTCAATCAAAAATTTAAAGAAAATAATAATTAAAGTAATTAAAATGTTAATAAAGGATTGAATAAGATGTTTCTCGATTCAACAACCCCACGACTTCATCCACTCCCTGTTGGGCTGATGGCCC